AACTAAGTGCTATGCGGGACAAAGTGCTACGCCATAGGACGGGAGCCACCTCTTGAACTCGTAGGAGCCACCTCTAGAATCCCAACGCCTGGCAACAGATCCTCAGATGGATCAAGCGCGACGAGGACGTCGCGAGTCTAACGGAGGGTGATTGTAATACCCAGACCAAGAAAGCTTAAAAGATTTGATATGTACTACTCATACCAACAAGGTGCACCTTATTTTCCGGAAGTCCATCGTTGGAAACTCCACAGTTAAACGTGCTTGGCTTGGAGTAATTCTATGATGGGTGACCCCCCTGGGAAGTTTTCTCGGGAAGTGTGCGAGTGAGGACAAAGCATGCTGAAAAGACCCGTGTTGGTACAGTGAGGACAGTACGTCGTCGATCTAACGGCCAGGACAACCCGTTAAGTGGGACCCGAGTCGTTACATATTATATATTAACTAGGTTGTAGACTAGCTGCAAGGGGAGGAGTACTCCTTGCTGAAATTTGCTACTATGAATACGAGTGAGAAGGGCAATCATGATCAGTCTTGGCATTAATGTCTCTCCCACCACATTTGCTTGTTTATGTTGTCCTATTTTCCCATGGATTCTTCATCTTCTTGTTCGCATTGAGTTTGAAGTTGATGGCGTCCGATTTCTGAACATTAACATCCTACGACAGAGTTCATTCCAGCGGTGAATGTGAAGAAGAGGGGATCTTCTTCACATTTATGTGCTCGAGTAACGCAGTATATTACTTGAGAACTACACTAATAAGCTCTCTGATGAGTTTTCATCGGCCACTCAAAACAGTTTCAAGTATAAATCTTGTACTTTGCTTTAATATTTCCCAAAGTACAATAGTAGTTCCTTTCTCAAATTGTAATTGAAAACACTAAAAGTGAAATTCAAAAAGCTGCTATTTTGTTGCTTCTCAAATTCTACTATCAGATGCTACATCTTTTTCAGTTATTTTTAAGTTTATCACACACTTAAAATGTCCGTGCTTATTTGACAAGGAGAAGTTGCCCCCTAACAACAATCTCAAACGAAGCCTAAGAAGAGTTTCGGGGATTTTGAAATTCTTAGACGATGTCTTTGAAAAAATTGAGGTTGTTTCGAGACAAATAGAGGATGTTCATGACTAAAAATGACGTAGCAATTTCAGATCAACTTAAGAAAATTTTAACTGAGTAATAGTATTGATTGCTGGAATTTTAGTGAGGAAAAGCTTGTGTTTTTACTGAAAATATGTGTACTAATGTATTATAGAGAATTAATTTAGCTCGAGCTTTTCATTTCCTTTCCCTCTTTATATAGGTTACAAAATTAGAGCTTGTTTTCGTCTTGTCAAGCTATAATGTTTGACCTTGTGATATATATCACTACCCCTATTTTAGAGAGTTTTGATTGGTCGGAGAGTTAAGTGACAGCGAACAATCATGACACTTAGGTCGTAGCCTGTATCCTAGACCATTTTTGCTTTTCTATGAATGAAGATGGTAGACGGTGTTGATGTCAAGGAGGAACATTTCTTGACCATGATGATGTTTTCAAATGATAGCTTCCGTTGGCCATTAATTGTTGACCTTCTTGACAAATAAACCCCCTTTGACCACTTTGAGATGGGCCCCCTCGTGAATCGAGGTGATCTCCTCCGATCGGACACCAACAATTAAAACGATACAGAATCGATATCTATTTTTAAGTAAGTTTAAATTACGTTCATAGAAGGTTTCAAACTACAATTAAAACTAAAAAAAGTATAGTTTCTTAACATACTAGAGAGCCTAATTTTTCTTCAATATGTGCTTAGTGATTCAAAATGAACTTCAAATTGCACGGCTATTGCCTGTACTTTTATCCTCTTAACTCCAACGTTTATGGTTCAAATTGCATTGCTATTACTGTACTTTGGTATATTTTTAAACTTTTTACTCTTTTTTTTTTAGAAATATGTGATCTAACAAATTGACTAGTTTGTTCGGTTGAATATTGATTGTGTTTGTCGAGTTCTAAACGATACTAAAATCAAACGTCGGTATTTGAGAAATTCTCTTTTGCTTTCCAATTTAGGGTGTGTTCGGTAGAGATTAAAATTTGATTAAAATTAAAAAACTAGCCGTTATTGTTGACTTTTATTAGATGTGTGGGACTCAATAACGACCATATTTTCAATTTTAATTGGATTTTAAGCTGTACCGAACAGACCATTAGTTACTAAACTAATTAATTATAGCCATTTTCTTGTTCTCGTGTAATTTTTTACCTCATAGATATCCAATTTTTAGCTTTTAAAAGATGTCATATATATTGTGAAGCGTTAAAGCATACAATATTTATTAATCTCTATAGAATATACCTTGAAACCAAACCAATAGGCGATTTGAGTCTTTATATCCAAAAAAAATCAGATTGATCTCCACGGGCAAGACTTCACTCCTGTAATGCAGTCCACTACAAGCCTATTGACCTCTTTTTGTAGATCGGTCATCTGTTCAATCTGGAATTCCATCTCTTGCTTGGTTTCTGGTACCGATTTAAGTTCTTTTGTTCAAATCAATATCTATGTCAGTCTAGATGGGATGGCTCCTACTAGCCCCCCCCCTAAGAACCGCACGTGCGAGTTCCCTCGCATACGAATACGTTCTGCTTGTAGCCAATACAACCACTACCTAACTTACAGAGATTCAACAACCGAAGCTACTGGTAGTCCCGAGGGGACGGCATCCTCCTATATTAAATAGTTAGCAGTACTGAACAAGCGAGTCATCGGTTAGGGGAAAGAAAAGGACCGCCTTTGCTTAGAAAAAAAAGGAACTCGCTAGGCCTTCAGAACAAAGGCGATTATGTTCATGCTTCAGACGATCTGGCTACTTCTATTTTGATCTTATTTTCTTCTACTAGAAAGGCGTAAAGGCGAACCTATAGGCCTGTTTAGCGCCTTTTCGACTTTGGAAAGTCTACAGCAGCTGGGCATTCTAAAAGAAATCATTTTCTCCATTCTTCAAAGAGAGTCTTTCGAAGGTCTGGTCTCGAAGTTGTAGTGTGAAGGTCGTCACCAAGTGGTAAAAAGATGGAGTCAATGTGAGGTCTAGCCCCATTCCCGATCGTGTAAGCCTTCCATTGTTGGCAGTAAGGGACAAGAACTTGACATGACATGACATGACATGACATTTTATATCCGTTATATTTTTTTTAATTTTAATTAAGTTGTTTTTATCATTTTGTTGTCACTTGTTTAACACGAAATACATTTTCTTTAAAAATAAAAAAATAAAAAAAAGTCCAATCTAAATTTTAATTCTAGGTCTTCCTTGAACCTTAAACAAAGCTAAACTAATATGGTCCAAGAAATTCAGTAGCATAGTGAGCATCATCGCCCAATTTGACGAGTCCCCAAGCAAGTTGTTCAAGAAGAAATCCCAAGAACATAATCCAAATCATAAATAGATTTTAACGAAACAAAGAGAAATCAACCATCTCTCTCATTGCAGCCAGCTTCTTCTAACCTTAATTCAGTTAACCTTATATCATCGAGAATGAGACGTAATTAAATTATTGTTATAGAATTAATTTGTTTCGCTTGAACTTAGGCATGCACAAATTTCTATTATAGTTGATTGAACGGATTTTCACTACTTTAAATTGCTAGGGGATATCGGCTAAGATTACTTTTCGGATAACTATTGGTGTGTTATTTGCATGGTATTTTGCTAAATCGTAATCGTAGTAAAATTACTAGTTACGTTTAAGGTGACTAGATCAATCGGTATTCTTACCATCCCAAAGTTGTTTGAAATTCGGTCGCTAAGATGATTCAAAGCGACGTCACCAAATAGAGCAACATAAAAAATAAACAAATGAATTATTTTAACAGTACATTCTTTATGTACATCATGGTTGACATTGTAGGATGTATAAAAATCGAGGTCATTGATTATTTTAAGTATTGTTAAAATCAATGACAAAATTGTATGTTAAATCACACATAGTTTAAAAAAACTGTCAACAATGATATACACCAAGTAAAATTGTAAACAATTAACCTATTTTGGGATCAAGTTCGACATTGTAAAATTCTTGCAACACATTCTAACTTCATACATTACTTTGTCCCGAATCCTATAAATATTTGTCCAAGAACATATAGTGGGCCCAGATATGCCAATTGACAAGAATTTTGCTACGTGTACATTCTGATATACAATCTCCCCCACAATAGGAGAGTCAAACGATTTTTTTATTAGACATGGATCTAGGATGACAAAAAAGTTCATCGGTTCCGGCTCGGGCTCGGTCCGAAAAAAGCTCGAGTCAACCATGCTCGGGAGCTCGGACCAGCCCGTATTAAAAAAAATTAAAATTAATATTTTTTAAAAGAACTGAGCTCGTAGCTGCGCAGGCAGCAAAGGCTACCTGCTGCAGCCTTCAATTAAAAAAAAAAAAACCTCGAGCTGGTTCGGTCTGCTAAAGCTTGGGTCAAGTCTCATTTTTTTGGTCAGACTTTGTTCTGTTCTGTTTGGCTCAGCTCAGGCTCAAAAAAGCTCAAGTCGAGCCCGATTTTTTTTATTTTTTTAGTTCCACTCATTGACGTAGCTACGTGGATCCCCCTATTACGAGGGGGTCTACCGACTATACACAGGGTGTCTACAGATAGCAAAATTCCAATGGACAGTAATGCAGGGTCCCACAATAGACAGCCTCAAAGGCGACGATCGTGGTATGTTTTAGGCGAATGCAAATTATGATGCGCCCATCATTTTCATCCACACGGACCGTGCCCTTCAAATTCTTCTAGAATGTCGCAAGACAGAATTGTAATTTCACTGACTTGTCTACCTTGAATGCATAACGCGTCACCATGTGTCAAAAAAGTCAACTTGTTTTATTACACGAATAATATAATTCCACGTGGGTCCTCGTTCAACAAGACCATTAGGTGGAATCGAATAAATAATTGAGGATAATTTGGTCACGAAATTTCTAATGCTTGACGAGTCTCACCCACCTTTGGAATAGAAAATAATCCCACGATTGATATCTAACCAGTTATCTACTTCATTTATAGTATAAATTAATATAATACATGTATTAGTCTTACACGTAAAAACTAATAATGACATATTACAATTTATATAAGGTAGATAAGAAACTCACGTTTTGACCTACCAAGCTCTTTCACATGCTTAAACCAACTTTCTTTTGGTCTCATGTGAGGTTCCATTCCATCTTCACTAATAACATAACATAAAAAAATTGTTTGTTGTTGTTAATTAGCCTTATTTCACGATCATTTTTTCAAAACTATTTAAGTCTCGTATTCATTTTCAATCATACATTTGTAAAATAAAATATTTTGTATATAAATCCAAAAAATATTCTCTACTTTTTAACCACACATTTTCAGAAAATCACTATTCAAATTTCAATTTCTCAAAATAATGACAATTAAACAAAAATGTTGTGAAGAATAAATAAGGCGATAGAGTTCAACCCTAAAATCTTGGAACGCCATATACGACACTATTTTATGATTGAAGAGTACCTTATACGTGTTTGATACGCCATACCAAGGGTAAAAATTTGAGGTCGAGTAGTTCAGTGTCACATTGAGCACATGAATGGGATGTTTAATTGGACCATCAATCACTTATAAAAGGGATAATTGCAACAGTAGTACCAAACCTTTCATTTAGTAGCAGATTTTGTCCAAATTTTTCATTTGTGCACCCACAGTACCAAACATTTCATACGTGCCACTCACGGTACCAAACATTTCAAAATATCGTAGCTGAATTTCAAATTGATGGTTTCTATTAGTTTGACCGCTAGTTGACCTCGACAATAATTTTGATTAATATTAAAATGTTAAAATTGTAACTTTACATTTGTTAATAATAAAATAACAAAAATCAAATAATTACAATTAAAAGCTCATTTCCACATTTTTCTTTTCCATCCACCCCACACACACCCACCCCTATTCCCACCCCAAACGGCCAAATCTGCAAACCCCAAATCTAGGAAATCAAAACCTAGAATTTTTTGTTTTTTGATTCTTTTATCATTTCCTTTTGATTCCCAAACCTTAGAATTTCTTACTTTTTGATTTCCCAGATTTGGGGTTTGCAGGTTTCTCTCTTCTCCCTCCTAATTCATCGACTCTCTCTCTCTCATTCCATGCCCTAACGATTTCAATATGTAAACTCTATCAACTAGACATCATAAACGGCATCATCAACATTGGCTATTGGAGCTCGTGATTTGCCTACTTCTCCAACTAATGGGCATCATCCTTCGAAGATAAGAAATAGTTATCTGAGATACATGGATGGACGAACCTTCGAGATAATTTGATTGATTAATTTTACCATTTATGAGTTTAGTTCACTGCAAATGGGTCTAATTTTGAACACATACAACCCATTCCTCTCTTGAATTCTTAAGTCTAAGTTAAGGATTTAATAATTGGGAATCAAGGTAGCAAAACTTGAAGATTTGGGGTTTGAAGATTTCCCTGATATGAGGCATGCCGACTTGGGGTGGGGGGGTGTGTGTGGATGGAGAAGAAGAAGGTGAAAATAGGTTTTTAATTTTAATTATTTGATTTTGATTATTTTATTATAAAAAATGTAAAGATACCATTTTAACCTTTTAAGACTGGTTAAAATTATTGTTAAGGTCAATCATTTGGTCAACTAATAGTCAAACTAACAGCAATCATTCATTTGGACTTCAAATGCGACATTTTGATATGTTTGGTGCCATGTATGATACAAATGAAAAGTTTGAGCAAAATCTGTTAATAATGAAAGGTTTGGTACCACTGCTGCAATTATCCCCTAATAAAATGAGGTTTTGTGAGCCAAATTTGGATAATGATTACCACATGTCAGCACTTAACAATAGGGATGGCCATGGTGCGGGACATGGTGGGGTTTTCCCAATTAACCATCTAAATTCGTCCATAAATAGGAGTTTCAATTATAGAATTTGGTGTACACACAACGTTCTCCTCCATGTATACAATCTACATATATACAGTGCATCAGAATTCCCGCCTCTTACAAGGCATGGAATTAGACTATTTGTGGGCACCAATATGACAGTTATTGATTTAAATTTAAAAATATAAAATAAATAAATTTGTTCGAAAAATTCGGGTAGAGAACATGATCCCCATCCCTTTACTATTTGGGAGGTGCAATATGGGGAGAGGAACAATCACATGAATAGGGAATTTCATTATTCCCAATTAACCATCTAAATTTGTCCATAAATAGGTGTTTCAATTATAGAATTCGGTGTCCATATATACAATTTACATATATACAGTGCACCAGCATTTCGGCCTCTTGTAAGGTATGGAATTAGACTATTTAGGGGCACCAGTATGGTAGCTCTTGTATCTTGGTCCGTTGAGACACATTTCGCGATTTACTTCCTCCATAATACTCTAGGGACATGGGGGCGATGGAGGACCCTCAATATTGGGGTTTAACTTTTTTTACATATACACAATGTGCGAGCATCATTTTATGGTCTACAATAAATGACAATGTTCAAGCACCAAGCGTTACTGTGTTGAAGTAACTCACTCCATACTCTTAGTAAAGCTCAAACGACCTTTAAACAAAAAGAGTTTGATTTTGTGATTAGCATCATAATCCAAAAATCAATCTAGTTTAAATAAAAGTAAAATCAAAAAGTTCTTTCCTCAACTCGAAAAATTAAGAACCCAATCGAAAATCAATCAATTTTAAGTCAAAAAATCGAAAATCATAAAAAAATAATAATATGAGAATCAGGTCATTCATCTCAAATTTTATTTTCTTCGATTTTTAATATTATCATTACCTCAAGCTCATCATTAACTCGACTTATTTGCCCCTTTATCTCGTACGCTTCGACATCTTGAACACAATTTATTAGTTTCGGACAAATTGATAAATGATTTATAAATAAATAAATAAAATACTAAAAAGAATAGTAACCAACCTCAAAATATTATACGAATTTGACTAAATCTTAAATGCGAACTTCCCCAACATAACCTCCTCTCTTAATTTTCTTTCCTCGGGCTAACTACCACCTTCCCAACCATCTACTAAACCACACGATCTTTCAATGCCCCTTTTCTTTCCCTCTCTCTTTAAATAGCACACACAAAAACACCCACATACCCAGCTGCCAAATCTCATCTCTCATCTTTCCTCTCTTTCTTTCTCTCTCTCACACACACTGCGTGTACACTGTGTGTGGAGAAATGGCATCAGCACTGTTGAACCAAACCGTCTGTGTAATGGATGCATCGGGACGTTTGGGCTCCGCCCTCGTCCACCGCCTCCTTCAAAGAGGATACGCAGTTCACGCCGCCGTGCATAACCATGGTTTGTACTTTTTATCTTTTCATTTTCACCTCTCCTTCATTTTCTCGCCCACATACAGCTGTTTTCTGTTTTGTATGTAAAGAATTGAAGTACCACACAGCTGTTTTCTTTATTTTTCTTTAACATTTTTTTTTTTGGTTTGAATCATTCAACTTCAGAGACCCTTTTGCTTAAATTTTACTTAAACGTTGAGCAAATTTTTGTGAAATTATTTTCATTAATTAGTACGAATTATTAATGGAATGTTGCAGATGAGTTGCAGTCTTTTAAGGGATTATCGAGTGAGAACAAGAAATTGAGAGTATTTGATTCAGACCCTTTGGATTATCACAGCTTAATGGAGGCATTGAAGGGCTGTTGTGGCTTATTTTACTCCTTTGAGCTTCCTTCAGACAACCCCAACTATGATGTAAGTTTCTTGTCCCTAAATCTTAAATTTATGTAATCAACTTAACTTTAGAAGACAATTATGTTGGAATTGTCAAAGGCGGCATATGTTTTTCAAGATTATACCGAATGATTCAAATATCATCAAGGCCGATGATCAAGATATTGAATTTGTTAAGGCATATGACTAAGGGTCCATTTGGCTTAGCTTTTGAAAAGCTAATAGCTCCTTTGAGATTAAAAAAACAACTTTTGAACTTGCTTGGATAATTTTCTGAAAGTACTTTGTTCTAGAATAGCTTCTAGAGAAAGCTAGCCTAAAATAGTTTTTTTTATGAAGCTCTTATATAAGAAGCAAAAGCATGAGTCATGCCAAACGGGTCCTAAGTTGAGTTGCGACGCGTATAATTTGTTTTAAAGCATTTGACTGACATGAGATTGAAAAAGGTTTGACGTGAACTTCAAAACAAGTTAGGTAATTTTTTGAGGGTTTAGACTTGTTTTTAAGTGATTTTCATTTCTGATACAGGAATTTATGGGTGAATTAGAAGTAAGGGCAGCACACAATGTACTGGAAGCTTGTGCACAGACAGACACCATAGATAAGGTAGTTTTTACTTCTTCCGCCACAGCGGTTATCTGGAGAGACCAGCACAATAGCGTCCCATCTGATGTCGATGAAAGAAACTGGAGTGACATTAATTTCTGTAAAAAATTTAAGGTTGGAATTCGAAATCCCATTATATAATTGCTGGAATCCTCTTAATCAAAGTAAGGAGTTTGGATTTTAATGTAATTGAATTTTGTACAGCTATGGCATGGACTGTCAAAAACGGTGGCAGAGAAGACAGCTTGGGCATTGGCAATGGACAGAGGGGTGAACATGGTTTCTATTAATGCAGGGTTGTTAATGCATCCCAATCTTAGCATAAAAGATCCCTATTTGTTGGGGGCCGCTGAAATGTTTAAAGACGGCGTCTTTGTCGCGGTGGACCTTGGATTCTTAGTCGACGCTCACATATGCGTGTTTGAGGACTCTTCCTCCTATGGACGATACCTATGTTTCAACCGTGTAATAAATTGCAGCAAAGATGTTGTCAAGCTTGCAACAATGATTTTACCATCTTCGTCTCCACAAGGGTACAATTCCTTTTCTTTCTTTTCATTTTTACGGGCTCCAGTGACATTTTTGATACGTTGTACTGAACAGAATTCGACTTTTTTGGGGGTACGTGCAGGTTGGAGGACGATCGGGTCCATGAGCAGAGAATAAGCAGCCAGAAACTGAGCAAGCTTATGGTAGATTTCGATAGCGAGCTCCAAATGGAGTGATGTTCACTATTCAGTTTCGATGATTTGTCTCACACTATGCAATCGACGATAACACGTACAATTGTATATGTGTAGTGAAAATTTAGATATCAAAATGGGAGTTATCGAATTAATACTATTTCTTTAGCTGGAGTCTTGATGTATTTTTTGAATCCAGCATAGCGCAAATCAAGCAATTGGTGCAGGTGAATGTGATGGCACAGGAATATTATTCTTAATAACAATGAACTTGGCCACATTAGAGTGGATGCATGTGGATGTGGCTGTCAATTTCCTAAGGGGAAAGAGGAGATGTATTTGATTATTTTTAATTGCTTTTGTAATTATAAGTAACAAAAGTACCCACTTAAAGTCATCCCTCCACCATTTTAGCACAGTGTATGTAATTTATTTGTCACTTCCCATCATAATCATACAAGCATACTCATAATATAGACATGGACAAGATCAATGGCAAAGATAGTATTGTAGAATTGTGGTGGTAAAATTAAATGGTGGGGGCAAAAGGTGGGTCTGCTGCAATACTTGTTCTGGCACGTACTGCTTGAGCTGGAGGTTTTGAAATTGAGTGTGGGAGTAGCTGATTCAACTGTCTCATGCTAAATCTGTCCTAGACAAGATGTCTTGAGATTTAGTGGGTGTTTGGTGATAATTAAAATTAGATTTTTAGTAAATTGTAATAGAAGTTTTTAAAATATGTGGATAAAAAATTGTGGGATCCATGAAAGATGTGATTAATATTAATTGTTTGACTTTGATTTAAATTAAAATTTGATTTTAATCCGAAACAAACAGGACTTAATAAACATTTTACCAAAATTACGAGGAACTCATGCGATGAAGAAACGACAAAAAAAAAGATAGATTACAGCTGTCATTCCCAACTTTTGACCCTTTCCACGATCTTGTTTTTGTCCGTGATTCTAAAGGATGAATTATAGCTACTGTTTTCAATTTTTATTTATTTATTTAATTTTTTTTTTTCCTTACGAACGGGCTCATTTGGGCCTGCGTAATCATATATTGCTTTTATTCTCCTTAAACTCTATTATTTGGAATTTTGGAGACATACTAAGAAGAGTAATGCTATTCGTCCTCACTGAGATTGAGCCACAGTTTATATGGCAATTACATGATAGTAAATAATAGATTCATTTAAATACAAAGTCACATGACTCATTTAATTGTATCTATCGTATAATGTCATATAATTGTTACATAGACTGATGTTCAACGTCTGTGGGGATTAATAGCATTATTCTACTAAGAATAAAAACAAAAAAATGTAAATGGAATCATGTTATCGAACCATCAATACGAGTAACAACCTGGGCCCAACTTCGATTGTGCTGATTCCTATTGAATACGTGAGTATATTGGATACAGTTGAATGACCCAACACTCAAAATGGGCCGCCTAATTTGCCTCTTATGCAATTGGACTATGAAATATAGCGATGGGCTCTTGGTTGCAAAAGAACATTAGTGTGATTTCAGAAGTGGAAATTACATCCAGCACCCTCGTTTCTTTTAAAATTTCTAAATTGCTTTCAATACTCTTTTATTACTTGAATACCGACTTTATTCTCTACACGTGCACGTGATCTAACATAGCACTTGTTCAAACACAAATATACCAGCAATGATAGCTCACTTGCCCATCGTACACCACATCGTACACCATTGCAGTCATCACCACCACGCATCATGAGCATGATAAACATTAGCACTACGTACCATCGCCATCGCCTTCATCGACAGTCATTTGCGTATGAGCGAAATTGTAGTTGTATATTTACTTTTTGCTGCGACGAGAAGAAAATTTTGAATAAATCGTTGGCAAATGCTCGTGCTTATGCACATAAGCTTTCGACTTCAATTGACCGTGATTGCTTTGATTGTTGTACTAGCTTTTGGGTCGACCACGAGGAGAAGAAAAATAATCCACAAAAATGAAAAACTAGGTGTAAGGGTTGGGGTTCTTATTTTTCGGCAAGGGAGGGGAACAATGGAAGTCTTGTTTATGTGTAGTGTAGCAATCGATATTACAAGTAAACACGATAGTGGTGGTGTAACTCTAAAAAATGGTGGTGGTGATAGTGGCTACAATTGCAATAACAATGAAAATATGCAGCAAAATGTGTGTAACAATATGTTACAAGTGACGGCAACAATAGCAGTAGAACACATATAGCAAAATGTTAAATGTGTAGCGTAATAAAATACAATGAGTTACAAAAATGTACTTTAAAAATTTAAAATAAAAAAAAAAATTTGAGAATAAAAAAGGTTTAAAGGTGCATTCTAGGTTGGTAAAATTTCTAGCCCCTGTTTGGTAAAATTAAAATCAAAATCACAATTTTAATATATTTTGATAAAAGTTGATGAAATGTGTGGTTGAAAAATTGTGAATCCCATGAAGTGCGTGGTTAAAATTAATTATTGATTTTGACTTGAGATTTTAATTCATACCAAGGGCTTAGTGTATCTGTAACTTTTTCTCATATTAAAAGTAAGAATATGCTACTTGTATATAATTTTATAGACAATGCTATTTGTACATTAGCATGTACATAAGGGTGTACATAATGTGAGTGGAGGTGGGGCCTACGCTACAGTGTCGTGGGCACCACCACACTCACATTAAGTATACGCTTATGTACACGGTAATGTACAAGTAGATTAATCCAATAATAAATATTCCTATCGAACCATCAATACGAGTAACAAGCTGGGCCCAACTTCGATTGTGCTGATTCCTAATGAATACGTGGGTATGTTGGATACAGTTGAATGACCCAACACTCAAAATGGGCCGCCCAATTTGCCTCTTATGCAATTGGACTATGAAATATAGCGATGGGCTCTTGGTTGCAAAAGAACATTAGTGTGATTTCAGAAGTGGAAATTACATCCAGCACCTTCGTTTCTTTTAAAATTTCTAAATTGCTTTCAATACTCTTTTATTACTTGAATACCGACTTTATTCTCTACACACACACACGTGATCTAACATAGCACTTGTTCAAACACAAATATACCAGCAATGATAGCTCACCTGCCCATCGTACACCATTGCAGTCATCACCACCACGCATCATGAGCATGACAAACATTAGCATTACGTACCATCGCCACCGCCTTCATCGACAGTCATTTGCGTATGAACGAAATTGTAGTTGTATATTTACTTTTTGCTGCGACGAGAAGAAAATTTTGAATAAATCGTTGGCAAATGCTCGTGCTTATGCGCATAAGCTTTCGACTTCAATTGAACGTGATTGCTTTGATTGTTGTACTAGCTTTTGGGTCGACCGCGAGGAGAAGAAAAATAATCCACAAAAATGAAAAACTAGGTGAAAGGTTGGGGTTCTTATTTTTCGGCAAGGGAGGGAAACAATGGAAGTCTTGTTTATGTGTAGTGTAGCAATCAATATTACAAGTAAACACAGGCCCTGTTTGGGAGAGATTTAGATTTTTCTACAGTAAATCAATTCTCATTTTCAACCACACATTCTTCAATAAGATAATATTTTTCATCAAATCAATAATTTTTTTTCTTTTTCAATCATACATTTTGAGTCCCACATAAGAGATAGAAAATTTGAATTTAAGGAGGTGTTTGTTTTTTATTTGAGAATTGATTCTCATTTTCAACCACACATTTTTCAATAAAATAATATTTTCCATCACATCAATAATTGTTTCTTCTTTTTCAACCACACATTTCTCATCATATCACTATTCAAAATCATTTTTCCCCCAAAAATTCCTCCCAAATAAGCTCACAATAGTGGTGGCGTAACTCTAAAAAATGGTGGTGGTGGTGATAATGGCTACAATTGCAATAACAATGAAAATATGCAGCAAAATGTGTGTAACAATATGTTACAAGTGACGGCAACAATAGCAGTAGAACACATATAGCGAAATGTTAAATGTGTAACGTAATAAAATACAATGAGTTACAAAAATGTATTTTAAAAATTTAAAATTAAAAAAAAATATTTTGAGAATAAAAAAGGTTTAAAGGTGCATTCCAGGTTGGTAAAATTTCTAGCCCCTGTTTGGTAAAATTAAAATCAAAATTTTAATATATTTTAATAAAAGTTGATGAAATGTGTGGTTGAAAAGTTGTGAATCCCATGAAATGGGTGGTTAAAATTAATTATTGATTTTGATTTGAGATTTTAATTTATACCAAACAAGGGCTTAGTGTATCTGTAACTTTTTCTCATATTAAAAGTAAGAATATGCTACTTGTACATAATTTTATAGACATAATGACGTCAACACCCTCACACGGGGTGACCCGTGTGATATCCATTGTTTAAGGTACACGACACGACATCTTTGATCTATGTGATATATTCTAAGATCTGAAAAATGGAAATAGACTTAGTACTCGACCTTTGTTTGAAACTTATTTTCTGGAGAAAATAAATTTTGTAATATTAACTTTTTTGGAGAATGTGTGGTTAAAATGTAAGGTAAAAATTTGAGTTTAATACAAAATTATTTTATGGACAAAATGTATTATTAAAAATAAATTTAAAGAAAGATATTTATTTAGATAATTGAGCTCAGGGATCCATAGGATCATTATAATTTTTTTGCTATGCTATTTGAATAAATCACTATACACACCCGCAGGACACTTGGTGAATCTTTGGACAAATTTGTTATACCTGATACATATATATGAATAGGTAATTTTTGAAAAATACGTATGTAAATTTTGTCCACAAAAACCCTAATCCAGTAATATTTGAATTTTGGTACTCTCTTGGGGGATGCTCAAAGGTTTTTATCCAATTCTTGAGGTGCACGCAGAAGATCAACCCTTCGGATTCTTCAAACGCTTCTCGTGTGATATAGGCATCCAATTTTGATTTCCTTCATCTAAATCACAATTAATTCATGTAAAATTATTACACACAGTACGCGATTATGAGTTTGTAATGATAAGTTTTGGGGTTTGGTGCAGAAATCGAAAACTGGAGGAAGAAGAGGAGGGGTGAGCATGGCTACTGTATCAGCAGCATCGTCGCTGCCGCCGTTTCTGAACAAGACGTACGAGATGGTGGACGATCCGAAGACGGACGCGGTGGTGTCGTGGAGCAACACTAACGACACCATCGTGGTGTGGGACGTGCGCGAGTTTACCAGAGAACTTTTGCCCAAATATTTTAAGCACAACAATTTCTCCAGCTTCGTCCGCCAGCTGAACACTTATGTATGCTACCATTATGAACTCCTAAGCTAATTTTGTGGAAGCTTTTGTTGTTTAATTTAATTTTCTAATCCCTTCTTTTATGTTGGTTATAGTTTTACAATTTAATTATCTTCTGAATTTTGAAGGAATATTTTACCAATTTAAGTATCAATGATGAAATATATCAGGAGTTCTAATGAGAAGACCATAATTGTGTCAGTAACTTGATAAGTTAGATAAAAGTTTTGGTCATATAGAACACGGTTATGTATAATCCTGTAATTCAATGTTCTGTTGCCGTTTTCCCTTAATGAAGTTCACAATGTTCTTTTCTTGTTTTCCCTTAATACAGTTCAGTTTTGGTGTATTAATTTCGATGTAGGATGGGTACTAGGCTTCTTCTCCTACATGTAATGCATTACTGTGTGATTTGAATGGTGATATTGAATCAATATGCTATCTCAACCTCAACAATCAATATCCAAATGAAATTTGTCAGAGAGATGTATATCTATGTCTCCAGTAGATGTCTCCAGTTAGCGGTGTTTTACAAGAAAATGAAAACGCACATACTTATATCCTCAGAAAATATAACCATTTAAATACCTCAAATTAGAATTGGATTTGTTAGATCTCCTTGTTACGAAGAATAGATGGCATGTTATTTTCTGTAATCTTGTATGGAGGTTCTGGGAGGTTGGGTGTAGCATTTCTAATGAAAACAGTGAAGCTCATTGGGAGGTTGGGTATATCATTTTCTTATGGAAAGCAGTGAAGCTCAAAGCTTTGTGTGAGGTTTATGATATTTTGGTCTTGTGTGTTGAGCAATAATTTTTTTTTTTTTATAGTTTTTCTTCCCCTTTTGTTAACCAGGGGTTCAAAAAAGTTCACCCAGACCGCTGGGAATTTGCAAACGAGGGTTTTCTCAGAGGTCACAAGCACCTGCTGAAGAGCATAAGCAGGCGAAAACCTTCCCATGCACAGGACCACGAACAACCCTCTCAAGTTCAGAGTTCATCTGATGGATCTTCCATTGAAGCTGGAAAGTTTGGGATAGAGGAAGAGGTTGAAAAGCTGAAAAGAGATAAGAATGTTCTTGGGCAGGAGCTTGTCAGGTTGAGGCAACAACAGCAATCAACCGATCTCCAGTTTCAAACTGTAGGGCAACGTGTTCATGTTATGGAGCAACACCAGCAACAAATGATGTCCTTCCTTGCAAAAGCAATGCAAAATCCTGGCTTCATAGCCCAGCTGTTTCATCAGCCGAATGAAAGTAAGATGCATAAATCTGGTGGGAATAAGAAAAGGAGATTCCCCAATCAGGAGGAAGAAAATTTAACACGTAAATTAGGTATTGCGTCACCTGATGGACAGATTGTCAAGTACCAGCCTCTGATGAATGAAGCGGCAAAGGCAATGCTGCAGCAAATCCTAAAAATGAGTGCATCTGGTAGGATTGAATCCAAATTTAGCAACATAAATGGTTTCTTGATGGATAACATGCATCCTCCATCCAATGTATTAGACAACAGTAGTTCCCCTAATCGAATGTCTGGAGTTACTCTCTCAGAGGTTTTACCGTCTTCTTCACAGTCTCTAATGGCAGCAGATTCAGTATTTCCATTCAACCGTCCTTCATCTGCCTTATCCAAGATCCATTCCTCCTCTAGTTTGGTGAATGGGAAGGCTCAAGGCACTCTGCTTCCTGAAATTGACGTGGCATTGCCAGAATTTTCTCAAGTGAATCCAGAAAAGAATGTTAATCTGCCTGACACGCCTTTTGATGGAACCGGGTCTGAAGAGATGGAATACATGGATGCAATGCCAGGTTCTGTCGATGGCCCTATGCCAGTTGCATCAGATGGATTTTCATCAGATCCCGATGTTGATGTCTTGGTAGACGAGATTCCTAAGCTTCCAGGCATAAATGATGTATTCTGGGAGCAATTTCTCTCATCAAGTCCTGTAACCGGGGATATGGATAAGACAGATTCTAGCGCATTTGGAGGTGGTATAGGAAAGGAGGAGGACCAGCAGACTGCGAAAGAAGGTGAATGGGATAAAATGAAGAATATGAGTAATCTTACTGTGGAGATGGGACTTCTTGCGTCGGCGTCGAAGAGTGGATGATTCTGTGGTATGAATCGCATGTTTACTGGCAGCAATGGTCAAAGGTACATTCCAGTCTCAGTTCAGTTTAATTAAATGTGACATTTAATCCTCACCCTCTTGCTATAGTTACCGAAGTTACTTCTTGTTATAGAACTTTGTAATCATATACAACGTTTATACCTGTGAAAAAAATTATAGTAGTACTTCTGAATCTTATGCCATTAAAGGCAGGACTTCTGTGGGAATCTTTTGTTCTGCACCTGAATGTATATATATACACATAAGACTTCGTAAATAACTCCTCAATGAATTGGATAGACTCATCAAACAAACTTCATTATAAATGTGAATAAACATATGAAATGTGTCTTCATTTGCCTTCTAGAAATAGCTCCTTGACTGGAGTATTACATCTGATGCTTGGGTGTTAGTTATCAGTTGTACTTTTCTTTTTTACCCTTTTTTGGATGCATTCTCTTCATGGCTTACCCTTTTTGACTTGCTGGTTTTCTATATCTAGGTTCGATACGTTGAAACTGTTGAAACTCCAATGGTTATTGCCATTTAGCATTGAGCTAATGGCATGTTTATGGACGGATTTAACTCGCCATTCACAGGCCAAGTCTATAATCGAGCTTGTTTTTCCCATTATTTCATAACAGAAACTCCATGCTCTGTCTGCATATTGTTCCAGTTCTTTGGTTGCTCGAAAATTTTCATTTTGAGTCCAAGTCTTGGTGGCACTGCTAATACAAATTCATTTCGTCAGAGTAAGTTGTATCCTGGGTCATCTTTCTCCTAAAACTAATGGGAAGAATGTTGTACAGGTTAACAAGAGTTTGCAATGGCAAAATCGTTTTCCTCGGATGCATTATTTGCTCAGTTTCCATGTTTTGATCAGCTTGTTTAGAATTTTCAGAAAACGATATTTCAGACAGAAAGAAAAGCCACAAGCATTGGATGGATGTCTAGGCATTGTGACTTGGATGATACAAAATCTAATCAACTACAAATATAAAATCTTTGTTATGCATGAGCAGTAGATCATAACAAGCTTTTATTATCTGAACTCCTTTCGATATTATTCTCGTGTATTTATAGTATTTTCATGTTAAAGGACGGTAGAACATTTAACAGCCATGGATTATACTGTAACCAGAGCTGTAACGAAACTTCAAAATATACAACAGAATGTTTCACTTTGCTTTAATAAAGAAGGTTGTCTTGGTATTGCACTGTACACGAGTAATTACAGACACCAAGTGAAAACAATGATGAATGCATTTACAATTACAGAAACGAGCTCTCATATGCACCAGACTGAGCATAAAATGAATTTCTCGTCTTCAAATTGAATGTAACATCGTAGAAATCAAGCTCACACCACGAAAACTGTAACTCCTATAAGAAGAACAATCCCAACAATAAGCAGCATCAAACAGGTCTGCACCAAAAACAAAACTAGAAGGTTAAAATTCAAGTCTTCCTTGCAAAATATGAGCTAAGATTAAAGCGTCAGCTATCAGGATTCAAAATATTGAGGATCAATTTTCATCGTTGCTTCTGGAAAAAAAAAGTTGCAAACTGGTAGGAAATCTCATTAATTACCATAGATGAATTAGATTTTTGGATCTTGGCTGCTTTGGTAAGTTGCGAAGTAGCTTGTGCAGTTGCAGCATGGGAGCCCTCAATATTTGAATTAATGTCATCTGGCAGAAGGAAATCAAACAATCATAAAACAGAAACTAATTTCACGAAAATTCTCAGAAAATTTTTTTTAAAAAAATGGCAGAAATCAATATTGGCTAACCAATCAGAGCCCCCTGTTCATGAACCAGCACAGCCAAATCCTTAAAGATTTCATTGACCTCGCCAATCTGCTGCTGAACTTCTCTGATACCTAGCTCCCTTTCCTCAATAATGGCTTCATTAAAAACTATCTCATTCTCCAAATGTATGACCTCCTGTCTGTAATAAATCATGTACAGATTTAGCATGTACAATCATGATTCTTTGTTAAACACCAAATTGCAATCGATCAGAACACATATTTATTCTTAGATGGATCAGTTGATCCATTGGTAGCTTATTGTGTTCAGATAAGCAGCACATTTGATCTAAAAGGTATGTTCTTTTAGGGAAAGGACAACTATGTTTTTATCTACAAAAGTTGATCATGCTGGAAGTGAAATTATCCACAAAAAAGTTAAGCCTCAAAGACGTAAATTAGCACTTAGTGAAGTGTCTTCCTACCTTTTGGATTCTGCAAGAAGAGAAATCTGCTCAGGACTCTTGGACGATATTATCTCCATCTCATTAGCTGTATTTCTGTAAAACATAGGAACTATGGCATTAAAACGTTTGTAGATATTCTTATTCAGGCAGCATGTATGAAGCAATAGGAGACAGGTGGTAATTGTAATGGATAAACAAAGATGCTCAAGACCGCCAGCACTATCACAAATTCTAGGATAAAATAAGAATAAAGAAGCAAATATGAGCCTTCCTTTGCCACAACTTTAAGAACTTGTAATTCTTGAAAACTGTTCTAGAAAGTATCTGGCCCTTGTGATTATGAAAATTTGACAGGTGTAGGAACCTAATAATTGTCTATCTGCATCAAAGATCAATATGGACGAGGAAACCAGGATATCAATTCTTCGTTCTATTTCCATCTAAATACTGAATCAATACTGTTTTCTACACAGTACTCAGCATAACAAAACAAAAATTAAAATGCAAAATCCCAAAAGACAGGCACTTTACATTTGTTAATTACTTTACACTGATTTGTACATTTGATATCCATTACCAATTTTAGAAACATTATACATGCATCAGTATGTAAAATCAACCTTCCATCTGAGAAAGAGTAGTGCACTAGTGCTATTTATCTCCATATGATGTGACATTTAAATGATAAAAACGAATAAAGTGATCTCATATTTATACTTTTAATTGGCCTTATAATTTCTTAGCACATCACATGCCACATAGACCGGTAATTATCTCTAATGGAGATAAATAGCATTATTTTTGAGAAAACATAATACAATTATCTCTATATTTTTTTTTTCTTTTCATTTTGCCTCTCATAATCCAAAATTTATTGTTCCCAGCATTCTCCATGGAATTATTACGGGGTGAAGGTCTTCAAAGCTACTTTATATTTTAAACGAATTCTAGACCTTAAAGGGTATGGTTCATATTATGTTCCCAGGAGATTACATGGTTGCTTCATTGTAAACTTGTTGACAAGAATTCAACAGATAACCAGCACAGAATGCCACAACATGGAACTCTGGCAAAAGCACTGCCCCAAAAGATAACTCATGAGCATGTTCGAACAACAGTAATACAGCAGATTTACCTAGATGAAAGATTTCCATTGGGAACATATGCAGTTTCCCTTTCTGCTGCAAGCTTCTGAGCCTTCTCAAAATCTTTCAGAACAGATTGATAATCTTTTGTAAGCTTAGCATCAGCAACTTTTTTGCTGGCCTGAAATGAAAAGGATAGGTTTTTATCAAGTGGCGTACTCATACAAGTGGAAGTAAACAATAACCAAGTGTACAAAAGATAAGAATAAGAAGCTGTACAGCCATAGTAGGAAGCTTAAAAACGCCACCAGGCCCCATAAGAAGCTGCTTGGTCTGAATTTCTTAATATATGTTAACACAATGTAAAAGTTCAGTTGTGCTATGCTTAACGAATTGTTGGTTTGGTTGATTCACTCAAATGATGGCCTAAAACTCTCTGTGACTTGTACGTAAGAACATTTTTAAGCCCTTTTATAACTTATTTTCCATCAAATGAAAGAAAAGAAAAAAGCAACTTTACTTGAGAATTAGAATGTTTTAACTTTCTTCTGGCCTCTTTGAGCCCTAGACGCAATTGCTTGTGACTTTTCTTTGTCATCCATTCATTGCCAATCATAGTATTTTAACAATTCTTCTAATTGGTAAAACTTAAATACTATAAAGCCAACTGCTCTAAAACTTACACTAACTTCAGTGAACCGGTCTGTTTCTCTAACTTGCTCAAGCTTCGCGGACGTTTCTTTCACCAACTGCCCAATTTGTAGCCTAGTCTTGTGGCTGCAGTCAGTGCATTGTAGAAACTAGTATTAGATTAGAAATACCACACTTTCCAACATACGGATTTTCTTTTCAGAAACGAAACAACTTACTTTACTATCCATTCAAAAGTTAATTGAACCAACTATTACACAGACATTTGCATATAGTAGCTTCCAGAGCTTTGTGTTCATAACAGCAGAATTACATATCAACAAATTATTCAAACTTAGATTCATTTTTTGTTTGTTGAATTAACACAAAAGCTTACACTATTGATTACAGAACCATTACGCAGGCGTTTTATTTCTTATCAATTATTTTCGGAAGTACAATGAATTATTGATTTTGTTACATAAATTATCCATTAATCATAAAATTTCTCCACAAACCAAGCAAATTACTATGAGCTGAATAAAATGCCTTCCCTCCAGCAGGTTTAATCTACATGAAAATTCAATAAACGCCAAAATAATACAATAAAACTCACAGTTTCTGGCGCAGGTCAATAGTGTCCTTGGGAGTTCCAAGGCTGTTAACTAGGCGTCTATAGGCTGCGACGGCGGTGTTGATTCGGAAGACGCCGGCAGCAAGGGCTCGAGAAGGATCTTGTTGCAGGCTTGCATGTGAAGTCAAAGCCCGGCCCGATTCAAGATCTTCAAAGCTCATATCGATATCAATAAACGATTATCGTTACTGGAACAACAACAAAATCTATCTATTCACTCAGAAAACTGTTGAAATCGGTCGAATGATTCGAAAAGGGAGGAGACGAGCCAAACGATGGTGTACCGTGCACGTACATGTAACGACAGAGGGAGGAAACTACTAGGCATCTCTCTGCATTTTTAAATGGAAATTGCAACTTCTCCCCCATTCGAAGAGACAATTGCACGCTTAGTCCCTAACTTATAGACCAAATTTGAAACTTCGTTCCTAACTTGCTTTACCTGCAGATTCGTCTTCGATATTTCAATTCTAGAGCATCATTAATTGCTACTAGATGGATTGCGTCCACTTGACATTTTTTATTAAAATCAATTCTACTTTTACTTTTCAATTTGGCAGGGTTGTTTATCTTTTATTGGATGAATCTCGTCCATTTAATTATTAAAGTGTCATTTTTTTCAGAAGTAATATACTTTTTTATAGTTAAAATAAAATGATAAATTGCATATTTAGTTTCTTAAAACTTTGTCGAAAGTTGCAATCTTCTTCCAAAAATCAAATTTCCATCACATTCTTGTCCAAAACTTTTTTATAAATTAGCAAAGTAAATCCCTCATCACGTTTTCCTTCCATTTCAGCCATTAAATCCATGTGAGTTACAAACATCTGTTTAATAAAAGGGATAAAAAATCAAGTTACTTAAACTCATACGCCAAGAACTTTGAATAAAAAAGTCATTTCGAACTTTCTTTTAAATAAAAGAGGGAAAAAACATAAAAGTTACTTTTAAGTGTTCACCCGTTGATTCGTATACCGCTTTGGCCAAAACGTTTGAACACAAAAGCTTTTAACGGCCATTCGATTTGTCCTCTACTTTGCTTCACATGGTCATCAAGAAAGATGTTTCATAGAAGTCGTAGTGAATAAGGTAATTTTTAAAACTCTTTTAACATGTTATTTCTATAATATTCTTTCACGTCTGACTTGGTAGAAGGGATACCAAGAAACACTCTATCGAAGGGGTACCAAACACTCTTTGTTGCAAGTATTGCAGAGAGCATGGGCCAGCTAAAAGAAGTACCATTTTTTCAACAGCAATGCGTTGATTTTATTTAGAGATAATTCAAGCTTTGTGATTCTTGAAAAGTTAGGGACGTCTTTGTAATAATCAGATACCTCGGGCGTCTTTATTGTCATTTTTATTGTTTATTAATTTCCTCAATATATAAATTAGAAAATAATAGAATTTTTTTCTTTGTGAATCACGCGAAACAATCGTGTCCACAACGTTGTCTATTGACCAGATCCTCTCTTGTTTACCTTCAGTCCAATTATATCCAGTGCAATCTAAAGTCGCATTGCGACTTCTAGTTTGGAACTTTACACTCCAGACCCCCACCGTTCTTCTTCTCTTCTCCCTTAAGCCTACACGCCATATAATGCCTCGCTCCAATACCAACTGAAAATATCAATCTATAATCTCATCAAAATTCCACATCAAATAAATCGGTTTTGGTTTTTTTGCTCTCCTGGTTTTCGAATACTCCCGTGCAAATGTCGGTTAGTAATTCTCTTCGATTTTTGTTTCAGTTATATCTGCATTAATTACATTAAACATTGATTGTGCAAATGATTTATTTTAATATTACTGTTGAGGTATGATTATTTTGATTAGATTTGTGTAAACTGCAATTTTTTTGCGATTCAAACACGCCGCGATATTCTTCATCTATTTGTGTATTGTATCGACTCGTTTTCCTGGTGTTACTGGATTAAATTGGCATTTAGATGATTTTTCTGTTTAATTACTACTGCATGTGATTTTTACAGTACCGGATTTAATTGAATTACTACTGACGTAAATTTATATGAATACTGGTGTATCTCGACGTATGAGGGGTGCATTCTTCAACTGTCCATTTAGATGGACTCAAGATCTACAGGTTTTTTAATAACTTTAACGGACAGTCTAGCATGTCATTAAAAATCATTTTAAAAGGATATTGAGATGTTTATCCTAGTAATAAATAACACGGTGCTAGTTGTGGTGTTATGGGCATTATGGCAAATCATAATTTGTATGTGTCATAAAATAGGGTAAAAATCTTTGTCAGTATAGTTTGTATTCTAAAATTGGATCTGCAAAATGGGATAATCATTAAGATGAATGCTTGATCTTGTAACAGTTGTACCATTGCTAGATTGTTAAATTTTTCAAGAAGGCTATTATAATTGTGCATATAAAATGAACCTTAAATAAGGTCTAAACTTGCATATTAACTTGGCTCCCGTTTGACAAGCTTTTTTTTGAAAATATAAGCCGGTCAAAATTTATTTTTAACCACATATTTCATTGGCCACAACTTTTATCCACTTTTTAACCATGGGACCCACCAGATTATAATTTCAAGAACCGTTGTCAATCAGGGGCTTAATTGCTAAGACAACAAACCTAAAGTTTTAGTTCGTATTTCCACCTGAAAGTTGTTGGAGATGACGCAAAATGTTCAGTCCTGCATTATTTTAGTTGCTTAATAATCTCTTATCAAGATTTTGAAATTATAATTAGAGAAAATTCCCTTCTGTTTTTGACTCCCAGTTCAGCTTTCTGCAAATGAAAGTAAAAAAGAAAACCTTTTGGAAATTTAAGTCGAGCTTGTATATTCAGAGATTTTTGCATTGAATCTCTTTATCTTTTTCCGAGGGTAACTCTCGTGGTTATTACTATTTTTTCTGCATGAAGTTCCGTTCTCTCTCCCTTTTGTATTGTTTCCACTTACGGTGTAATTCACAGTGGCAGGTAAGAACTGTGAAAGTGAGCAATGTCTCTTTAGGTGCTTCTGAACAAGATATCAAGGAGTTTTTTTCTTTCTCTGGGGAAATTGAACATGTTGGATTAAAGAGGTTGTATTCTTGGCCATTTTGTGTTGCTGTCCTCCTTTCAGTTTGCTGCATTTGTTTAACCTTCCAATTGTTCACCTTACCCTTACATCTTCATCCAAGTGATTGTAAAATTTCTGTATGTCATTGCTTCATTTCATCTCTATTTTGATTTTAGTGAGAACGAGCGGGCGCAAACCGCATTCGTCACTTTCAAGGATCCTCAGGGTGCAGAAACTGCCGTTCTTCTTTCGGTATTCCTTTCAATTTCTTGAGTTATAGTTAAATCATTTTAGAATTTTTTCCTTGAATTGGAAAATTGACAACTAGTCTCATTGAATTATTGGCAAAGGGGAGAATAAGGGATCCTACTTGTTGTCCTTTATAGTCAATTTCCGTGAGACTATCATGGCATCCAATAAAGTTGAGTTTTAATTTTCCTGGGGAGAAATATTACAAATCCCTTTAAAAAATTCTACTATATGAAAAATCCATAATATTTTCATTTATCATAAGAATACCAGAATACCTGTGGTTCTTTCTTAAAGCAGAGTTCCTCGTTGCTCTCATCAAATATTAGACCACTTAGTCGATTTAAGACAGTAGCATGAAGTCCAGGCAGATGACCTTGGTTCAAGTCTCCTTTTGTGGGGAGGGATGAAAATCCTTTGATTTCCTTTTTAAAAATGAAGAAAAGACGGTAGAATAAAGTGGGTACTTTCTATGTGGTGTTTCTCTAATGTAGCCTATATCATCTTATCAGATTACTGAATGTGGCATAAATCATTTTTTTTCAACATATGTAAGGCTAGTCTTGGTAATAAAAGCAACCTTTCATTTGGAGTTTTGCAAGCCTCCACCAAATGCTTTTGTGCCTAGTTTAGTGGATAGTATTTTTGGCAGTGGCAATTTCCATCTTTAATTTGTGTGGTTTTCCTTGGATATAAAGTTAATTAAACAACTTGTTAGGATTTTTCCCTTTGTATGGTCATGTTATGCCATCTTCTCTGTTGTGCATGTGTTCAGAAGGTGGAAAATGATATTTCTATCGAACGAAGTAATGTACTTGATAATCATTTTTTACCCTCTTCTACCAAACTTGTATCTGTATAAGGTAGAAAATTTTAAGGCAACAAAGTTATGTAATATGATACTAAAATGTGGTTTTGTTCTCAATACCTACTTCTGTTTTAGTTTGTGTTCGTGTTTGTAATAATGGTAATCAAAGACGCCTCCATTTGGGTTTCATTTTATTCTCCTAAAATTCTACCTTTCAAAGTCAAACATTAATTTTAACCAAACATTTTATGGGACCTACTAGTACTATCCACTTATCAACCACTCATATCTTCAAAAGCAGAATAGCAAAATAAAATGAAACGCAAATGGAGGCTCAGCTGCTTCTCTTATGATTGAATATGAATTTATTTAGCAGCCTCAGTCTTATTGTAAATATACAAACCTCTGACAATGAGATAGGATATTGATTTTTGTCATCTGACATATCTAACCGTCTTAACTGTTGCTCCAGTTCAGCACTGATTCATCTTTTGGTACTATGGTTAAACTTACAGTGAAGTTGAGGGACAAAAAAAATATATACACACACACACACACACAGACACACACACACACACACACACACACACACA